TATAGTAAGTTTATTTTTAGTAAGAACTAGTTGAATTAATAGAACTAGTTGAACATGTCACATTTGTTGTTATTTTTTTAGTTAAAGCAATTATTCCCGCATCGATGTCGACGATGCCTATCCCGCATCCTCATCATTGACTCGGCGGAGGACACCTGCTTGACCAGATGGGCCATGTCCGGGACTGGGCTCCGCCGGGCTAGTACTAGGAGGCGCGACCTACCGAGGGGCGCAGTTTGGTGAGGATTCAGCCCGTCGTTGACCCGAACCTTCTTTGATGGTGGTCGCGTGGGCCAGTGACGGTCCAGAGGCTTGAGGACCCCCCGTGGATGTGGTATGTCACCGTGTTAGTGAGGAGGATGCGCACGTCCGTCGCTACTTAGTTGCGTTGGAGCAAAGGTTCTCCTATACCTGGCAGGTTCTCTGGGGATCTCACTAGAGCTATGATCCTATGATGGTTCCTTCTCTTTGGGTGTCCACCGCCCGCGCCGATACTCGTTGTTCGCTAGGGTTTTAGTTTTATTAGTGATGTTATATGTATGATACTATTCTGGATGTATTAGTGATAATATTCGACGATGTACGAACACAATAGATGATTTACTTTTGCTTATTGGATGCATGCTAATTTGAATACTTATTTATTTTACGATTTGGTTTTGCTTATAGAATGCTCATGTCAACATGAGTCCTATAAGATATTTTGAAATGTATATCTTGTGTTCCTCAAATAGGATATGTGCTTGCCCAAGTGGCCGGTCATGTTTGCAGGCTACACCTCCGAGTGGACTATGTTTTGCCGGAGTGTTGATTCATTTCCGTTCTGGCAAATTTCAGGCGTTCGATATGTCCTATTTTAGCAAAGGTCATGCCAGATTTTTCCATGAATTTTGGCATGACTTGTGCCATAATATGTAGGAAATATCGTGTGCCCCGGATTTCTGTGTTGAGTATCCTGGTAGTTGCCTTCGATTGATTTTCAATTAATGTTTCAACTATGAACATAGGAAATGTCTGATGACGAAAAGGATTTCAGTATTTGCAATACTGTGAAGACGAGCGCGGCCTGTGTGACAGAATCTTCCTAGATGATGATAGGCGCTTCAACATCAAGCTGGACAAGAACTTCGATGTGGATACAATAAGTCACAAGGACAAGTCTTTTTTCATAATTAAGCATGCCATCTGCTTCATTTGCTTCAACTTTTAATTTAATTTTTTTACTATTCTACTAGCATATCCCCTGCCATGCAAGAGTTTTTGTCTTGGATAAGATAGGTTTCAGTCCTATGCAAACTACTATGGAGGTAAAGAGAGTTTACTTGAAGACCGAACATGGTTATACTTTCCACGCAAAATTATACAACGCGGACACCTACACCTATTTTGAATGCAAAACTTGGCAAGCACTATGCAAGACTTATGCATTTGAGCTTGATATGGTTATCACCTTTGATATTCGTCCAGAATATGATATTGAAGGTAATATCGACATCTATGTCGATGTGCGGACGCCTCCAGTTATACCATTATGTGAATTTCTCAACCATATTTATGTCTTCGATATTGTTTATTCAAAAATAGTTGACAACTAATTTCTATTGACAGCTTATTTCCATTCAAGCAAACATGTCCGGTGCTTGGTAGACATGACCGTCCACTGTCCCACGGCTGAACTAAACTGCGAGGAGATAGGTCATTATGTTTCATGCCTTGAGGATCTTCATACTGTCAAGACAAATTATTTTCCTAGACTTAAAAACCTTTGTACTCAAAACGTGCGACCAATAGTGTTCGTATTGAACTACGGTCACACCTATTTAGGAAAGATGGTAAAAAATTTACTATTTGTCTTCAGTGCATCTTTTGCATACATTATTTTTTAAGCTAAACTCCATTGCTAAGTATGTTACTACACAATGTTCTTCAACAGGGACTCCCGATGAATGTTGTGCCTCATTGGATCGAGACTAAAGGTTGCATGAGAATGGTTAGCTTACGGCCAAGACATCCTACAATGCACTTTAGTGCATTCAGGATTTTTAAAAGCGAGGAATGCTTAATAGTAAAAAACTGGAGCAAAATTGTGAACGATCGCAGAGAAGTAATAATGGGCAGCAATCAGAAGCGCAACCCATGATTAGGAGACATGTTAATCTGCATGCTCCAACATGATGAAGCAGGAGTGCTACACATGTTTTATGCTATTTACCTGAGAGAGAGAGCAGCAGGAGTGATTAGCTAGCTAGAAATGAGTTTGAAGATAATGATGTGCTACACTATGACTATGATGATTAAATAGCTAGTGTTGGTGGTAATGACTATGATGATTATTATTAGCTAGTGTTGGTGGTGATTAGATAGTTACCGCAGCTAGTGTCGGTGGTGATTAGCTAGCTAGAATGAGTTTGAAGATGATGATGTGCTACACTATGACTATGATGATTAAATAGCTACTATTGGTGATAGTGACTATGATGATGATTAAATAGCTTGTGTTGGCGGATTAGATTCAAGTGGATGCAACATGTGATGCACATCGAAAGTACTACTAGTCCAAACTAGATCAAGTTTGGATTAGTAATATACTTTTGACATGCACCACATGTTGCCTCCACATGAACCTAATCCACCTTCATTTGACACACGGTTATGGACATAATGATATAAACCTCAAAATTTGTATAACGACGTATAAATACACTAAAAAAAGAATACTTGTAACGAACTAGCGATGGAGAGTAAACACGCTGCTACTAGCTAGATTAGCAGTAGTGCGATAGTGAACCACGCTGCGGCTATATGTCTTAGCAGTAGCGTGTGTCGAGCGCGCTACTGCTAAGTAATAGCTGTAGCGCCTTACTAGTAGCGCGGTGTCCTGCGCTACTAGTAGGCATTAAATCCGCGCTACTACTAGGGTTTTCCCTAGTAGTGTCCCACCTATATATATGTGGGGAGGGGCGCCCTAGCACAGCGAAGACAATTGCCTAGCCATGTGCGGTGTCCCCCTCCACAGTTTACACCCCCGGCAATATTCTCGCGGTGCTTAGGCGAAGCCCTGCGAGAATCACTTCACCATCACAGTCACCACACCGTCGTGCTCACGAAACTCATCTACTTCCTTGATGTCTTGCTGGATCAAGAAGACGAGGGACGTCAGCGAGCTGAACGTGTCCAGAACTCGGAGGTGTCATACGTTCGGTACTCGATCGGTCGAGCGTGAAGAAAGTTTGACTACATCAACCGTGTTGTAAAACACTTCCGCTTACGGTCTACGAGGGTATGTAGACACACTCTCCCCCTCGTTGCTATGCATCTCCATGGATAGATCATTGCGTGTGCATAGAATTTTTTTTGTTTTCCATGCAACGTTTCCTAACATTATATCATACTCTCCTTAATAAGTTAGTACTCACATTCAGAAGGTTTCTTGTTGAACATTTGTTCGATTTTTCTTATTTTCAGTCTAAACTGTGGTTCTCAATGTCCAGTAAAACTTCAGTTGAGTGAAAGACATGCATTGTCCAGAAAGATACCAAGTTCAGTCTCATTATAGAGAAAGATACGAAGTTGAGTCAATAAAGGCTTAACATGTTTGATATGCGCAAAACAAGCAGATTGGCCCACACTGATTGGGGTTTTGGTCTGTGTGCCCAGGTGGAGCAGCATGGTAAGTCTTATGATAAAGTTGTATCACACATTCCTCATATATGTACAGTTATGGCACCAAAAATAATAAGTTATGTTCTGGGATTCTGAACATTATAAAGTTGATAGTTAGGCACAAAGCTATTGCTCTTGCAAAAAGTCTTCTTACACTCAAATTGTCATGCCGAAAAATTCACGGGTGTAGAACTTCTTACCTTTCTCTTTTGTTTATGGAATTTATTCTTACCCATAGTAGCCCCTGTAGACATGACGTTGTTTAGTTACCAAGTGCCGATTGGCTGATTTCATTGTCTTCTTTCTGCTGCAAATCGTGCTTTGGACTAAGTGGTGGCTTACAACATATCAGTGCAAGGCTCCTCAACGAGCATACATCAAATTTCCCTTGGTTGATTTGCATATAGATAATCTATGTTGGATGATTATATTTCAATACAATTGTTACAGCGATTGGCGATTTTAGGGACTGTCCATTCATTATGATCAAACGGTGGAAAAATAGGAGTTACGATGAGTTACGGGAGTAAAATTACATAAAATTACAAATAATTGTGGGACCATTACAAGATTATGGTGGGATTAATCAGTTTCTAAAAGGGTAGATCCGTCCAATTTAGTGTGCAGCGCTGGGACCCGTCAAAAAAAATTAATGTGCAGCGCTGGGACAAAAGGAAAAGAAAACCTCTGCACGCTTCATCCCGAATCTGTCGATCCCCTCTCCGCTTGCCTCCTCCTCTCCCGGGTCGCCGCGCCGCCGACTCAGCCGCTTCTCCTGCGCCTTCTCCTCCCCGCTCCCCAGATCGGCGTCCAGCGCAGGAGGATCCGGGTGGTCGTGGTGGCGGCATGTTCAGCGGCCTCGCCGGATTGTTAGCCTCCTCAATCCCCTCGCACAGGCGCCGCCGCCAAGCCTGCCCTCGACCGTGGCGCCGCCGGCGTCACTCCTGTCGCTCGTGCCGCCACCGCCACCGGCCCTCGCACAGCCGCAGCTGCATGCTCTCCTCTGCTGCCCCAGCGCCCCGAGCATCACCCCGTCGAATAGGCGCTCCCCACGTTAGCGCCTTCTCCATGGATCAGCCACTGACGGCCATCAACGCCGGTGACCCAATCCATAGGAAGGTAACCCAGGGGATTAATCTTCCGCCGCCGCTGCCGAGGGGGGCCCTGTTTTTCCATGCATGTCCTCTGACCCATTATCCTGCACAGCCGCCAGCCGTCGCCGAGGACAGAGAAGGTCCGGTGTCTAGAACCGTCGCTACCTATCCTGCCAAGCTTCCCGCCCAGGACGAGTATCCCTCCCAGCCCCCTGCGCCACCATCCGCCTCTGGCAATTTCGTATGCGTGTAGGCGACAGTGGAACAAATTCAGACAGTCAGTTATCCGTCCGTCAGAATATTCAGGTTCTGTACTTCTGTATTTCACGCCATTCTTCCTTTATTCTCTCTTTTGCATAGCATGTGGACAGTAAACCACATAGTCGTCCATCACTGAATATCTGAATTTGTTCCATTCAGACATTCAAAGTCACATTCCGAACGCGTGTAGGTGTCGGAGATGTCGTTCTCACACAACACTCACTTACACCTATGTTTTGAATCGGCTTAAGGATGCTGTGGACAGTAATATATTCTACCAAACATATACAAGCATGCCTACACAATGCTGGTAATAATCGTTGTGTACAATGGCGCCATACATTGTGGAGCAAGGCCAAAACTCTGTTTCTTCATCTACATTTGCACAGGTGAGCAATTATTATCTTCTTGCCTTTTCAGGTATTTGGCAATATTGGCTCTTGGGCTGCCCAATTGATCACTGAAGCTGGTGGCAAGGTGGTCTCCATTAGAGATGTCACAGGGGCTGTCAAGAACTCCAATGGCATTGACATAGCCAAGCTGATGAAGCACTCGGCAGAGAACCGCGGGATCAAGGGCTTTGACGGAGGCGACGCCGTCGACCCGACCTCGCTGCTCACGGAAGAGTGCGATGTGCGCATCCCGGAAGCTCTGGGAGGAGTCATAAACAAGTAATCTTCTATTTACTCGTCCCATCTCACTTCATCCAATCTTTATCAGATTACTGCTCAGAAGCTCAGTTAAAGTATCCTCCTGGCTGTTATTTTTTGTGTATCTGAATACATTTTTGTTAATAAAAAGTCCTTTCGATTATGTTCTTGTACTAGGGACAATGCTGATGCCATAAAAGCAAAGTACATCATCAAGGCTGTTAACCACCCAACAGACCCTGAGGCAGACGAGGCAAGAACACCAACATTTTACCACAAAACTAAGCTGAATTTGTTGACACATTCACACATTGACTGACAGTAGAGAAATGTTCATGTTCGTGGTGCAGATTCTGGCAAAGAAGGGCGTGCTGGTCCTACCGGACATCATGGCCAACTCCGGTGGAGTGATAGTGAGCTGCTTCGAGTGGGCCGCTGGGCGTCCAAGAGGCACTTGACCTTGCTGGATCACGCTGTCATCGGCGTAATCCAGGCCGGATCTGTGGAGAGCCCGGCGCAGCACCGTCACAGGTCCATATCTCTTACTCTACCTTATTCCTTGCAAGTTCACGGCTTTGCATTACTCTTCAGTTCTGGTTACTAGTTTGAATCTGTAAAAGTATCTGATGGAGCACATGAGCTTTATACAGTGGACATGTAACTAAATTCTGAATGTTGCTTCCTTATGCTTAATGGAGTAGGTGGGCAACTCCCTTTTGTGTAAGATTTTATAAATATTATTAATTGACTTGATTATTTGCTAGTCTGTGATATCTGTATTCTGTAAAACAGGTCATGACTGATTCTGCAGTTGCTGATTCGATTTTTTTTGCTTCCAATGCTTTGTTAGATTGATAAGGGCCGGAGCTTCAATGACAAATCCACTATATTCAGCACACAGCCCAACTCAGCAGGCACGAGCCATGTCGACAGTCGGGGTGGCACTCGGGTGCATGCTCGCCTTGACAGTCATCAAGGTCGCAATAGAGTCGGTGGAGGTTGTGCTCGGCGACGCTGAGAGAGAGTCTATCAAGCATAAGTCCATGTTGTTGTGGCTGAAGCGACTTATGGATGCCGACATGCTTGAAGATTTTGAAGATGAAACCGACCTCAACCTGGTATGGATTCTGTCGATTTGGTCACTATCAATGTTGATATGAATGATGTTGTTTAATAACATATTAATATTTTTAGATAATGAACTACATCTAAAACTTTTTTATGTAGTGAAGTAGATCTGAACCTCACTGTTGGAGTTGATCTTTGAGTCGATGTTAAGTAAAAGCTACATCTACTTGTTGATGCCAAGACCGCCATTTCGTTCCTAAATGTCCCTGCCTTCTTATGTTTCACCAATAGTAAGCTATGTCAACAAATATCATGATTTGATTGAGGGGAAAGTGAAGTAAAACTAGTCTGTTATCCCAAGCGTAATATCAGTTTATGCACTGTTTTTGTCAAGCACCTGATTGAAACTAGTTTGTACTGCCATCTCCGCCCCTTTCAAGCCTTCCATGGTACTGACACACTACATTGTACCTCTTGCAGTGGGCAGCCACTGTGAAGAAGATTAAGATGCCACATAACATGAGATCGATGCAAAAGCGCATAGAAAAGATAAAAGAGGACCGTGAGGACCGGCAGGGTCCCGACATCCAGGATACAGCAGGATATGTGGAGGAGGCAGAAATCATCTGGAGGACTGATGATTGCATATATTGGAGCAGCAGTTATTTCCCCCTCCTTTTGACTACAGTGGTTTGAGTCAGTAGGTAGTGATTAGAGTAAGTAGGTAATACTTTTCATTGGAATATAACTTGCAAGTTGATGGATTCAGAACCTTTGTGCTATGAAATACAGTTACAGTAGGAGATTCAGACACTGTTCTTGTGATTATGCCACTGGACTATTTACATTAAAATTAGTTAGGAATTTTGTATATTTAGGCGGTGTATGCCACCGTATTGAATGGACATCTTGGAAAACCAAAATTGGCTCAATTTGGAAGGATGGTTGCTTTATATGATTTTTTTGCCTGCTTTGCACGCGTTGCCACATGTGCATTCCCATGCCTCAGCCATAATCATTGTCGACAAATATTGCAGTCACCTTTAGCATGGAACAGAATAAGTATGGCCCCTATTTTAGTTCTCTCTGTCATGTTCGCGTGCACAACCTATTTTGCCAATGAGCAAGTTTAGCATCTGTTTGTTCATTGCAGAGCTTATGCTGGTTGCCTGGTTCTTATTGTTGTCCTAGCTGTCAAGTTTTTCTTATTGTTGTCCTAGCTGTCTAGTTAGTACCACTAGTTAGTACCAGAACTCTATTAGAGTAAAGCTAGATGTGACATCTATTACAGTATTGTTACCCAACAGACTTAGGCCTAGATTTATTAGTTGTAAATTTGTTAGCTCAATGTACCGCATTAGTTTCGAAGCAAAACACGAGCTGCAATGTACCAACTCTTGTCCAGATGTCTATATCAGTATAAAAATGGTACATGGTGTTCCTGATGCTATTCTTTCTTCTTTTCTGCAGGAGAGGCTGGCATTTGACAATATGGTTCTGTGTGTGCATTGATTGCTGGTGCTGCAACCTGTAATTTCCTTGTGGAGTGGACCGAAGTAATCCATCAAGCTAGCTGCATTATTGATTCTGTTCCTTTTGCTGGCGAGGTAATAATGTCCCACTCAACTCATGATGTGAGAGATAGTAGTGTAACCATGATATTTACATCATTGGTCATGTGTTCTATATGCTATGATTTTTCTTCCTTAATTACCCTGCCTCAGCCATAATCATCATCCACTTAAACCAGAACTGTATACTTAAAAAAAGAGCCAATGAAAAGTCAAGCATTTGGATGGACATAAGCATACAAATAAAATGCAAAAACATCAGAACATAAGTGTAGCCTTTAATTCAAAGAACATGCTATGAAGATCAATCATTTGGAACTGCCCTTGAAGTGCCTCTCCGTGTAGCCCACTCATGGCTTTACGAATGGGCTGGACACGACGTTTGATGGTTTGCGCTTGCGTCTTTGCAACTCCACTTGTTTAGCGATAGTCTCAGTGTCAAATCGTTGTTTCACTGGATTACTAGGAGGGGCATTCTTCCTCGGGCGTCCACGTTTACGCTTTGGGGCACCGGATGTGTCTGCTTTCTTTGTAACATCAGGGTCGGTGATAATCGTGACGTCGTCGTCTTCACCTTTTCGTTCCTCTGGAATGCTGGCTTCATACTCGTCCCTCTATAGAGGAAATAGTGGTGTGTTACGTGCAATCATGAAAGGTAGGAACTACATGACATGAAATGCTAGTTCTGTAGAACTTACCGTTATAGGATTCTTGTATGAACTTTTCTGAAGCTTGTTGCAATCTGAACGTAGTAGTTTGAACATATTTTCCAGCTGAAAATATATATTTCTTCCTGAATTAGATAGCGACGCATAGGTTAGGATAGGTTGAAGCATAGGTAGTGCATGATTGCAAATGTAATTTAGTGTTTGGCAGACCTGTGTGAAATCCTCGGTAATTTTATCTCCGTCCCATGTCAACATGTATTTGAGTGTGTACGCCCCACAGGAATAACTGTGATGTAAAGTTGAAGTTAAGTATTGTAGTGTAGGTGAGGAATCATGTAGCTGCCTATACGTACCCATCCGTTTGTTGTGGTATGTTAGTATAGCAAGTGGTTTTCCACTTGGTAATATTGATGGGTTTAGGCGGTGTTACCAAGCCATCCTCGACCGCTTCATTGATACACGCCTGAATGGACTCCACCTGGTGTACGAGGAGTAATTCAAGGGATTGCATTAGTGCTTTTAAAAAGGTGTCACATGATGGTAAGAGGCAGCAAGAGAGCAAGATTACCAGTGCAGTTTCCTTGGCAATGTCACGATATGCTTGGTTGGAGTTTAGGACCTGGATCTCTTCTTTGTCTAAATTAAACACGAGTAGTAACCAGTGCATGCGGTGCACATTCATTGGGACACGTACCTGGCAGAAAATTAAAGCGGACTCAATTTAGGGAAAATCAAGATATACAATTAAACAAGCCAGGAAATATGCATACCATTCTGCGTCCTACAAATTTCGTTGCTACATTAGCAACATCTGGGCTTTTGCATCCCATTGGAATACCCCCAAATTCGCCTAGCAATCTTTTGCTTTCTACGGTGGAAATGAATGGTGTAGCATCAGTTGCAACATTGCTAATGTGTGCATATGCATTAATAACCTGCAAAATTTGTAGTCATGTAATATGGCACAATTTAGAATACTTGATCTAGATTGCAGTATATGGGCCTTACGTCATCGACGAAGAATAGTTTGCTAACATTTGGCTTGAGTTGATGAACTGTTAGCACAATGTCTTCGATGTGAACTACCTCAACAAGGTCGTGACTCTCTCGGATGAAAAGTGCAGCCTCATAGTCTTCATCTATCAATACGTAATCATTGTTGAATACAGGCTTCCGTGGTGGGATGTCTTGGTCCAACTCCTTGTTTTGCACCACAGGTTTTGCACTAGGTCTACCAGCAGAAATTCGTGCTTTCCATGCGTCAAACCCAGGAGTTGATGAAAACTTGCCATTGCTTGGTTGCTCTTGTTCCTAAAATTAGAAGTTGGTCAATGAACAGAAATTAGCTCATGTTAGCAAGGTGATGGGCCATAGTTATCACCTGTACGTATGCATTCTTTGTCGTTGATTGTTTGTTTGTTTCACCTAGCAATCTTAATTCCTGTAACATGAAATGCATAGAATGAAAATATAGGAAGTTATGGGTAAAATTTATGTTGTAGTATCACTTACCTGGAGTTCCCTTTTCAGGTCTCCAACTACCCTTTTGAGGTCTCCAACTTCGTCCTCCAGCTTGGACAACCTAGGTTGAGTGGCAATTTTACCCCTTATGTTTATCACGTCCTCGGTCACGGTGATTATTCTTTTATCTAATTTGTGCTCTACTTCTACAACTTGTTTGACCAACTTTTTCTCTTGTTCTGCAAATAGATCGTTCTGTGTTTGAAGTATCATGTCCATCTGCATAAAAGAAATGTCAACTCGTTTTGTTCGAAGAAAAATAAGTATGGTTCGTTGTGACCTTTGTTGTGTTATTGAAAAGGATGTGTCTTCTAGCAACTTACTTGTTGGCTACTCATAGTTTGACCTCGTGGTTGTGGTCGATAGATAGCATCTTCATGCGCATGTGTACCTTTCTTGGTATGCTGGTCATTTGTAATGTTGGTTGGCTCCAGATCGCCAATGCTCATGACAACCTTTGAAAAGATATATAGAATCAGTACTAAGAAATAAATATAGTAAATAAATAAGTCAAGTCTAGAAAGGTATCAATCCATTGTATAGGCCTCCTTTATCATAAGCCTCGGTTCTTATTTTACCTATGGCTTCATCCCACCGTGCCATCAGCGGACGGGGTATACGAGAATACAAAATCGATCCAGCACGGACATGTTCCCAATACCAAAACTATAGGAAACATTAGTTCATCAATGATACAGATATATGCATCATACGAAAAATAGACGAATGACAACTAGCGTCGTAGCACTTACTTGGAGCAAAGCTAGATTTCCTTGTAGATTGACTTGATCCTTATAATTAAAAGTATTGATGGATGTTATCAAATGGTTCAGTGTGAAACATCCCCAGTTAAATTTGGGAATTCTTGCGACGTCTTCAACAAGGACGAAATATTTGGAGTCGACATAATCCTGTACCGTGGGTGCTAAAATAATGCCAATAGCATACAAAACAAACCTCCTGATGAAATGATCATCTAGAGTTTTGGAGGCTTTAATTTTGTACTCAAGGTCACTCAGCTTATGTCTTCCATCTGTTTGATAAGCCCTTAACAAGTTTGCGTCTTTTGGTTTTCCCATTTCCATATATATATTTTCCCCCTCTATTGGAAGGTCCATTAATTGATAGACATCCGTTGGAGTTATAGAAATGTCCTTACAAGCGATGTGAATACTCTGCATGTCGTGGATGTAGCTCTTTGCTAGCAGCACCAACATAATACGTCGGAGGGACACTGACTTCATCTTTGTTAGCCCTCCAAGACCAGTTTGAGTGCAGATGACCTTTAGGTGCTTGTCATCTAATCCATCAATCATTTGCGCGAACCTTATCGGTGAGCACATTAACCTCATATGTGCATGTTTCACACTGAGTTCGTCCAAAAAAGCCTGAAATACGTGTAAAGGTAAAAGAACTATGTGTTTTCAAAGATTTTAACCTAACTGGGTAAAAATATACCTGATTGGTTACGTCTGGTAATTGTGTGTATGCACAACTTGTAGGAGAACTGGCCATTCCTGGAAAATATGCACAAACAGAGACTGGGTCAATTTAGAGAATAAACATAAGCTATGGGGTTGTACCATACTGTAATTGTTCCACCTGTTTCTTTCAGAGCACAAAATTACTATGATAAGCTATTTAATTTAATTATTTCTTTGTTACTACCACTCCAGAGGTGTACGTTTACCACAGATTGATTGGTGATTAATGATTACTTACTAAATTTTCTCTATTGTCGTTAATGTGAACAACACGTGGTATGTACTGCATGATTCTGCCATTTGATATTTATATACAAAGTTTTTGATTATATTGACCTCACTGTTGTCTAAGGGGTGTAAAAATATCAGGTGTTCTAACCGTGATGCGAATAGGTGGATGAAGAGGAAGCAGTACCGCCGTATTGAACAGGCCAGGAGGGTGCTGGCCATTGGCTCTGATCCCCTGGGTGGCTGGGTGTGGCTGGCGGCTCCAATCGCGCCGGTCAGGAGGGTGTCGTTGGAGAGAGTTCGACGCCGGCGACGAGCATACAGAGGTGGATCACGATGCTGTGGACGCCGCAAATTTCAGAGAAAACCCATAAGATCTCATGATGGGTTCATGCACAGAATAAGCGGAACCCATTTTTTGGTTTTAAATCATCTCATGCGTTGCCTTAGTTGTAACTGATGACATGAGCCGACATTCTTACCTTCAATCCAACATGTGGATGCAGAACAAGCAGTGACGTCGTATTCCGCAGACCGGATGGGCGGTCGCCGGCGGCTCCGTTCCCGTGGGTGAGGACGGCGGCTCCGTTACCGCCGGTGAACAGGGCGGCGGCTCTGTTACAGCCGGTGAACAGGGCAGCCGCGTTCGATGGGACTGGCACTGGAGAAGGTCGCGTGTGAGAAGGCACCTGGAATGGAATATGAGTGCAGAATCAGCATTGGAGCCGGCTAGGCCAGTTGGATCGGAGGTTGTTGCAGATAATAGGGGAGGTGGGAGCGGAGGTTGTTGCAGATACGGCTGTGATAAGTGTTAATCTATCGACAAGCCAAAAATTGGATGGCGCCTTTAAAGTCGGAAAGAGGTTGATTGATGAAACACCATTTCTTTTGGCATGCCTTTTTTTTGAATCTGCCACGTCTTTTTCTTTTTCTTTTTTTTTTTGAAACTAAACGCCCTCTGGCTCTATTCATAAGGCGCTAGCATGTCTGACTGCAAACAATAAAAAGTTTTAATGATTGCCTACCTAGACGGTGTGCCGCCATGTTAGTCTGGCGGCCTGCAAACCGTAACTCAAATCCCTGAAATAAAGTAGAAATATCCTTCATCTCCATGATGAGGTGAAAATATGCCGACCGCTCAGGTAACTCCAAGAGCCCCTGGATCTCTTGACAGTCCGTCTCCAACACCACTTGCTGAAAGATTCGAGTGTTTTTGTGGAGTGCTCAAAAATTTCTTGCCAACACCACTAATTGTGTGTTAACTTCTTTTTTTTCCTATGGTAGTACGTGTCTCATTCATATATTTAAAAAACAAAGTACAAGTCACGTAAAGACCGACATGACAGAAGTGAAAAGATAGCAAAACTTCTCTGAGCTTGACACCAACACCTGTCACCTGCCTCTGGCACCACCACATCAGCCATCGAAGAAAAGAATGATGGATCACCTCCTCACCCGAGCTCGACGCGGCTCCATCGTTGATATGCAGCTTTGCGGACCTTCAAGGTGGCTCAGCAAAAGTCAATCATGCACCACAATGTCGCACGTAAATAACAAATGTTGGTACCCCATGTTGTAGTCCCTGTCGTTGACAGGCGTAGTTGCACGGCGATGATTCCCCATTGCAAAGCCTCCTGAACACCGGAGATCGTTGAAGCACGTTGATGCCGTTGTGACAACTGGGCATTTCAAAGAAAGTATGCCAAACCCATAAGTCATATGGTGCCACCGCTTCTAGTATGATGGTGGCCTCTCTGGTGTGACCTTGATACATTACCCGCAGACCTTTGGGGCAGTTTTTCCATTGCCACTACATGCAATCAATTGATCCGAGCATTTCTGAAAACCCCCGTGCCTCTCCAATAGCCAACAACTTCTCCCGTGTCCTGTGCATTTGGTTCTCTGAGATACTCCTGTCCAAACACCTCAATCACGGCGTGAGCAAATTTGACAATAGTCTTGAGGCACGTGCTCTCCCCCATCCTGACGGACTCACCAACAGCGTCTGCAGCAGTACCAAGTACTATGGGTCATCCGGGTACATCAGTACCACCATGTGTCGTATATTATCAGTAGCACTATTGATCCCTGGAACCCTTTTAGCACAATGGGTCATCTGGAAATGTTAACACCACGAGTCACCCTCAACGAGTAAGACCGATTCTCATGACAGCAGTTGGCTATCACCACTACGGGTACTCCGAACCCAAAACTTCTTTCACATGGGTGGGCAGCTCGGCGGTACGACTGGTAGTTGTGAGTCATCCGTTGCAGGTAGTACCACGACCATGGCTCTTTACATCTAGTACTACGGGTCATACAGATACATCACTACCACGATGAGTTGTGTGATACTACCAGTACCACTATTGATGAAAAAGGATTTCCCCCCGCTTTAGATTATAAAGCAACCAACCGATCGATACAACGAGCTTGCTGGGGCCGCAGCACAAACAAGCCCAAAAGAAAAGAAAGAAAAAGAAAGAGAAACAAATGCCGACAATGGCAGGTCGACGAAACAAAGATGACCAGTGACCGTTGCACCCACTAGAGAAGTACCACCACGCTTCTAGCACTCCGAGGTGTCGCGTACCGAGCAGCACCTTCAGGAAGGAATGTGACGACGACGATTTGTTTTAGTTTCTTTTAAGCTTTTTTTTAGACAAAGTTTCTTTTAAGTTTTTTTTAGTTGAACTTTCTTTTAAGTTTTTTTAAGTAACAAGACCATTTTGTTATTTCAGATTTACGATATTTGATGCACGTGAGCACAATAGCCCATATAGTACTTACCAGCCCAATCCAGATACGTAATAGAATTGCCCATATAGTACTTAGCAGCCCAACTTACCAGCCACGTACGTAAACCTAGCCATAGACGCAAATCCCATCGGGAGCAGTTCATCAGGCGGCGGCTCCCTCTCGTCCACGCCCGACGACATCCTCTCCTCCGCGTCCGGCGACCCGGTGCTCCGCAACCGAACTGTATGTACACCTATGGTGTTTCCCTCCCTCTTATTACCGATCAGATTCAATTAATACAGTGGATGCGGACGGTGCCGCGGTGGTCGATCTGCGGATCCTTTTAGTGGCACATCGCATGCACTAAACTAAAATACAGATATCTAATACTTTATCTAAATTGTAGCAGTATGGGAGTTAGTAATTTGATCTATATAGTGCACCTAGGACCTAGCACCAAGCACTCCGTACCTTCAGTTCGGCCACATTGTGTTGAATAGTGACAGTTTGAAATTAATAGATATTTCAATTTTCAAACATATTGTAACTAGCACTGTTATGTTGGTTTCTATAGGGATCATGGATTCAAAGGCACATCACAACCGAGTGAATGATGACAAGTACTTGCATCAGGCGCATCAAGAGATGGACAAGAATATGCAGCGGGAGCGAGAGGTGATGGACAAGAATCTGAAGCAGGAGCGCGCAACCGTGGACCGCATGAGGAAGGAGGAGCGTGCAGCCATGGAACAGATGATGAAAGAGGAGCTTGCAGCCATGGATCAGAGGTTGAAGCATTTCCATGACGATATGGACCTAAAGTTGAAGCAGGAGCGCAAGAACTTGGATCGCGCTATGCAGCTCGAGCGTGGCAGGATGGAATTCAATATCATGCAGGCGCGTGCGAACATGGACCTTATGTTGAAGCAGGAGCGTAATGACATGAATCACAAGTCCAAAATGGAGGAGATCCGCATGGAAGGGAATATAATGCAAGACCGTGTTCTACAACTCGAGCGTGGTAAGATGGGCTTCAATAACATCCAGACGCGTGTGGGCATGGACCTTAACTTACCACATGACCGCAATGATCTGGATTACAAGGCCAAGATGGAGGAGACCCGCATGGAAGGAAATACGATACAGGTTGGTTATATTGCCAAGTTCCTACTTATTATTTAAAAAAAGGGCCACATCATTTGCATGTTGACCTAAATACCTTTCGCATGCATATGGGCAGGACATGTCCGAAGAAGACATATATGCATGTGGGTACATGGATATCGGCGAGAGGGACATGGGCGAATATGGGTCATCGCCCAAAAGGAAGAAACTTGCAGATAACAATACGAAGAAAGCATTGGATTTCAGCAGCAGTGATGAGCCTCTTCAGTAGGCTTTTGGTTTTTCTACAATTTCAAGCTTTGGAGCTGAACTATTGTCCCAATTAGTGTTTGCATTATTTTTGATCCAACAATAACTTCATTCAAGTGACAATTTTGAGACTATGTTTACAATAATAGGCTTTCAACTTTGAGTTGTTGCTCAATTTTTAGATAAAAAGTTCCTTTGATGCCCGCACACTTAATTGTGGCTTTTACTATTTTTGCATTGCATATGCTGCACTAGTCCAAACCAGGTTTATGTTCGTAACATCAATGAAACGACCAGTTTTATTAAGAATGTCACTACATTTTGGATTGATGCAAATTTTCACAGGCACATTTCATGAGACGGGCAACGAGTATTAGCTTAAAATTTTGGTGCAATTTGTCAAAATGCATATTTTCCATCATATAGCTGTACATGTACCTGGGTATAACCAATCAGATAGCACATTGGTTGAATCAGTTTCAGAGTTCAGGGTCACTACATGACAAGCCAGAAATGATCACCTATCA